CCTGAGGCATGATTTGGGAGCAATAAGCGAGATTTGTCGGTTTTGTACTCCGTTATTACTCGCTTAGGAGCAAAAAGTGATGTCTCCTAAGCGAGAAATCCAAGAGTCTTCTTTTTGATTGATAGGAGAGCAATACGCACCTCGCCCAAAAGAAATTTGTGTTTTCGAAAAAATTTATCATACAAAAAAAAAATAACAGAAAATAATTCTTGTAGAAGCATAAGGAGCACACAATAATTTAATTTGGATAGCACACAGATTTTAATAAAAGTCCGTTGGTATGCACTTCAATTTTTGTTTAAATATATTAAGTATGTATTGTATTACTTGTAAATGCAACCTTAAATACTTTTCAGATTGCGCAAATTAGTGTCAGCATTTAAGTGTGACCCCCGGCTTTAAACATCGCATGGGTGACAAAGATGTCAGATAAGCAAAGTCACCTTCACAATTTCCCCGCTTGGTGGATTCCTGAACTGGCAAGCATCCTTGACACCCAGGAAATCATATAGGAGTACATACTTATATGTGCATATAGGTGCATATAATTCAAATCTTATCTTACCGTTTTGTTATTATTATGTTTTAATTTCATATGATTTCTCTGCAATATATTTCTAAAATTAAGCAATTATGTAAGACGTATCATTTATGCTTTATTTTTAAGATCTTGTAATACTGCACAAATGCATGTGATTAAAAAGTTAAATACAAAAATTTTATAAATAGCAAAATCCATTTGGCTAATGTAAAATATTCGTTATCATTGCTCTCTTATTACTCCTATAGGAGGCTTTCGGGATGCCTCTTATGGGAGCACTCCCTTATTGCTCGTTCGGGAGGTATATGGGATGTTTTCTATGTGCACTCCCTTGTTGTCTTTTTGGGAGGTTTCTGGGAGGTAACTATGGGAGTACTCCCGTATTGCTCTATTAGGAGGTTTGTGGGATGATAATTCTGTGTGTGCTCCCCGATTGCTCGTTTAGGAGGTAAAAGGGATTACTCCCTCTCCTAGGACATCCAATGTTAAAGGGAGTATACAAAATTACATGCTTATACACAGAAGCATAGGGAGCAATGGGGAGTATTCGTATACTCCCAAGGGAGTACTCACCGAGCAATCGTACGATGCTCCCAAGTTCTACTGGGTACCTCAACTTTTGTTTAAATATATTAAGTATTGTATTACTTATAAATATACCGTTAAATACTTTTCAGATTGTACAAATTAGAGTTTGCATTTATGTGTGACCCCCGGGTTTAAACATCGCATGGGTGACAAAGATGTCAGATAAGCAAAGCCACCTTCACAATTTCCCCGCTTGGTGGATTCCTGAACGGCAGGCATCCTTGCCACCCAGGAAATCATATACGAGTACATACTTATATGTTCACATAGGTGCATGGTGAAATAAGAATAAGGTGATATCAGTAATCCAATATGGCGTCGCATTTGGCAAAATTGGCCATCATAAATTACAATGCTGCTAACTAAATTTTTCCTCCTATTTGCGTTTCCAATAAGAAATATAGTGTCGGCAACATTGTTTCGTTGTTTTCTTTTTTACTTTGATATTCGCCTGTGTTCTTTCAATAACTTGCGAGAAAATGTTCGGAAGTTTTAGTTGCGTCGGTAAGTTATCTGTTTTATATTTTCGATATTTTTAGTTAAAGTAGTATAATAGTCCAGAGCATTTAAAAGCGCCTTGCTGCTATTCCTGCTGCAACGTACCACGTATGGGTTTGCAATTCAACATTGCGATTTGTAAGTACATATGTGTACGTGCATACAATTTATACATTTTCTATTAAATGTTGAGCCTGGTGATTTTTAGTCTGCAGTTGTATACCAGTTTTTAACCCTCTTGAAGATACATCACTATTTAGCTCTAAGTGGGAACCCCAAAAATGGTTCACTACTTTACCTTTTAATGATTGTATTATTTTATTATTTTATAATACGCCTTTTAGCTGCGAGTCCCTTAAATATCGTTTTAGCCGTTTAAAGGGTTAAATGAACAAATTATTATTTTAATTATTGACGTATTATTTTTTAATAGAATATGTCAAGAGTACCTTGTGCTATGTGCCATACGACATGGCCAGGTGCAGGTGTAAGTCGTTTTCAAGTTCTGAAATATTTATGACTCCAAAATTCTCTAAAGTAAACATGTAAACTAGCCAATTAAATTATTTTCTATTATATTATATTAGTTCAACATCAGCTATGCTATGGAACTCAGCTATCCACAGTATACAGAAATAATAGGACTATTAATTAGCTTCGAAAAAGCTACATATTATATTAATTCTAGAGTTTCAAAATATTAAATTTGAAATTACATTTATTTATTATCACTACATTTCCATGCATTATAAATTCGAAAAACATGTGCATTTAATAAACATTTAAAACTAAAAAATATGTACATAAAACATTAAATAATAATATAATAGATTGGCGCTTACACATATGTTAGTGTTTGGCCGAGCTTCTCCTCCGACTTGTGGCGTGCGCCTTGATGTTGTCACACAAAGCGGAGGGACCTACAGTTTTACGCCGACTCCGAACGGCGATTGTATTTTTATGAGAAGCTGTTTTTCATGGCAGAAATACACTCGGAGGTTCGCCATTGCCTGCCGAGGGACGACCGCTGTTAAGAAAAAACCTTTTTCTATATTTTTTGGGATGTTGCTTTACCAGGGCTTGAATCCAGGTGCTGATGTGTGAAAGCGCGCACTGCTTACCACTACACCACAGCTTACCACTTGAAAATATCCAGCGATAAAGGATATTTCTCTCAAGTTCTCTTTCAGCTTTCAATTCTCGCCTGAAGCATTATTTCCTAGCCGATAAGAGGGAATATGAAATGGATAAGTATGGATCAACACACACCAAAACGTGTTTGATTCCAAATGTGGTTTAGTCCTTTACCAAATTAAAAAGAAATATTTTAAAAATAATAGACAAGATATTCTTTTTTCTTTTCGGATTTTCGACAATAAAAATTATCGCATGCCGCCCTAATGTCTAATAATTATTGTTCTACGTTTCATTAATTAAATAATAATTAATTGCTGATTTATTGTCACTCCAGTACTACGATCTTAATAAAGTACTAAAAAGGTAGTAAGGGGTACAAAAAGATTCCCTTTTCTACTAACCTCAAATACATGACCGGAGTATGAGGGTCAACACATAGTACAAAAACAGCTTCTGATGTCACCTTGTTTTTATTTCACCATGATAAAGGTGCATATAATTCAAATCTTATCTTACCGTTTTGTTATTATTATGTTTTACTTTCATATGATTTCTCTGCAATATAATTCTAAAATTAAGCAATTATGTAAGACGTATCATTTATGTTTGTATCTGATCTCGTACTTATATCTGTTAAGATCTTGTAAAATTGCACAAATTCACGTGATTAAAAAGTTAAATAAAAAATTTAATAAATAGCAAAATCTATTTGGCTAAATTATTCCCTTATTGCTCGTTCGGGAGGAATATGGGATGTTTTCTATGTGCACTCCCTTGTTGTCTTTTTGGGAGATTTCTGGGAGGTAACTATGGGAGTACTCCCGTATTGCTCCATTAGAAAGTTTGTGGGATGATAATTCTGTGTGCTCCCCGATTGCTCGTTTAGGAGGTAAAAGGGATTACTCCCCCTCCTAGGACATCCAATGTTAAAGGGAGTATACAAAATTACATGCTTATACACAGAAGCATAGGGAGCAATGGGGAGTATTCGTATACATACTCCCAAGGGAGTACTCACCGAGCAATCGTACGATGCTCCCAAGTTCTACTCATATATGTAAAAATTGTATTAAATCAAATATAGGCCATCGTATATTACGCATATATTTTAATTATATTTTTATGATTTATACTTTTTTAATTTTTATTTTCCTCAATCTTAGCTTCAAACTTACTTAAAAAAATCGTATTTTTAACGCCCTTTTTTGTTTCATTTTGTTGTTTTGTTTCGTTTAGCTTTTCTTCTGCTTGCTTTTGTTGGTATACTCAAACAAATTGACAATATTGGATTATTGAAGAAGGCCGGAATTTCAACCAACATTTCGTTTTTTCGCTTGCTTCTTTGTTTTTCTTCACGTGCATATGTATGTATGTATGTATATCGTATATCGTAAATTTAAATTGTTGCGAATTTCAGCTACATATAGACATATACACACTAGAGTTGATAAATACAGATACGAAGACAAGAACAAAAATAGAATTATAATAATAATGAAAGGATATAAATATAGACGGTTCCTCCTTCTTTTGTAACAGAGTTATGAAATACAAAAATAATAATAATAATTACAAAGAAATGTAACAATAACTGATTGTGAGAGTATTTCTATTATAATTCGGTAATAACTAAACATAATAAAGGAATAATTTAATAATGTTTACCTCAACTTATGGTGAGGTAAATGATATAAGCAGGAAATGCTATCTTAAGTAAGACCTTTTTGTTTTCTTCATACACACGCACACACACAAAACAACTAATTAAAATTCGATTCATGAACTACGCCAAACATATAAGAAGCTGCTACATCGGCGGCAGCAATTTCAGCGACAGCAATAGCAACATCATGAACCAAAAATACAAGATCACGTAAGAACGCGACGTGTATTTGTAACTGGTTTTGAGAAAAAAGTTTGCGAAAGCGGGTTCGTCAGCTGAGCGTTTGTTGACATCACAAGCACCACTATTTTACACTTTTATTCAAGCAAAGAAGAGTTAATTCAACATGAGAACACATTTTAAAGCATTTTGTTGCATCATTTTACCTAAATTGTGCGTTTAAAGTGGCTGACAATAATTTTGGCTAATTTTCGTTTTCGTTATTTTCTTTGCTTTGTTTACTTTTCGCTCGTTTTCCAGTGAAACAAGATGGCGTAGAACCCGCTAATAAATTCGACTTTTTTCACTCTCTTGTTCTTACGTGATCTTGTGTCTTTCGTTCATGATAGCAACATCAACAGCTTGAAAAGTGAAATGTGGCTACTGCAACCTTGGCTGACTTCTTTTCTCGTTTGTTTGCTTGCTCGCCACATTCACCGTACAGTACATACCACACGCCATTGATGCTATAATTTAGCTGCTCTTATCGTTTAAGCGTACATCATTTTGCTCTTGTTGTCGCTTAAAACGTTGCTCCTTACGCCAAGCATCGATACGTTCCTTCAGTTCAATATTTGGCACGAGCATATCTTCGGTCAATGGCTGACGATTGAACGGATCAGTGTTACTGTTCAACAAATGCCTTGTTATAATAGCACGATCCATAATCGTGCCCGATGGCAGCATTACCGGATCCGACATGAGCGTATCCATTAGGGGATCTTTGAATTCGTCGGGCGCATCGGCGCACTCATCTTCGGCTAGCTGATTTGCAACTGCAAAATAGTAGTAGTAAAAGTAATGAAAATCTTATACAGAAATATCCAAAAAAAAACAAGGAAAAGAAACAATGCCGCCAAGAACTTACCATAAATATCATGGGCTTTATTAATCAATGATCTGAATTTTTCCACCTCAGTTGTGGAACGTATACCCAAACGTTCTATGCGACTGGCAGCATCGTCAAATAGATGCTTCTGAAATGAACGCTCATCGGCGGCTAATGCCTGCGCAAATCTATCACAGTCCAGATGTAGATATATATCAAAAATTTCGCCTAGCAGCCGACGTGGTTCCCAACCATATTTAGCTGGATTGCGTACTTTTAGATCATTGCACTTGGGCCCACACAATTGTTGTAAATTGAAATTTAACATTGAACTGAGACGATCGATTATTTCGTCGCGCATGAATGGCTCTTTAATGTCATTCTGAAAATTAAAAACAAAAATTAATTAAAAATGTACGCATATGTATTTGATTAGCTTGTAGGCTTGCGGTTAATATACATACAAGTACATATCAGTTACAAACATTAAATGCAATCTTAAGACTGGTTTTCACTATGTCATAGTTTGACAAAAAATTTTGGCGACATATTTTGACACAACTTTATCTCCTTTATCCATACCTTTACCGATGATATTATGGGTTAAAAACTGACAGATGACCGACTTCGCAGCGCATGTACACGACTAAAGACCTTACCTGATCCAAATCAATCTATAAACCGCTTTTTGATCCCATTTGACATAGTGTTTTCACTTATTTGACGACAAATGAATTTGACACAGTGAAAACCAGTCGTTAATCTCTTTTAAGTCGTAGGTATATGAAAAATTAGTATTTGAACTGCACCTATCGGAAGTAATATTTAATACAGATCAGTTTTGTTGTTGTTGAACAGCGTATCATGAACGTGTGTAAAAAAAAATCTGTCAGAAGTGTTGTATATTAATATTTGTAAAATAAACCCTTAAATACTTACTGTTTACATGTAACTTAAATCTACTACTATCTACTACTATATGAGATAAATGCTATTACTACTATTTAGATACAACTCATACTGCGAATGAG